TGCTTAGATTAACAATCTTTTGCTACTTCAAATTTTCTAACATAAGTGTTAATATTTGTACTGGGTAAATAGAAATTTCTTAAGTTGATCAAACATTTCTAATATGAACTAAAATCACTTAATAAGCCAGTTAGTTTCTACTATCATAAATTAACAAATACAAGTAATAATATTATGATCAATAAAAAATAAATCAATACCATAACTAATATCGTACCTATTTCAATTTATTTTATTACCAGTGAATATTATCAACGATAATATAAAATAAAAATAAATAAAAATTAACGCGAGATATAGTTATAGTTAATTCATATGCATATTTGACAAGTTGTCCGAGGTGTTTATTAGATATTTGTGAATAAACGGGGACACTTTAAAATAAGAAAGAAATACGAAACCTCCCCGATGCTCTCGCTTTTCTAGTCAAACGTTTATTAGATGACGATACTGGAAGAAGAAGAAGAAGCAACGAGGAGCTCGTACGAAAGGCGAAGTAAAACGTATATTTAACGGTAGTCAGGTACCGTACCGAGGATTGTAATCTTATACGTTTAAAGTGCCGGGTATCGGGTGTTGCTATTTCACAGCCAGTAATATTAATGACGAGCGAGCACGGTTTTCGAACGATTCTCGATACTCAACTGAGGAGACGACGACGCTGCTGTTGCTGCTCGCTCGTGGAAAGGTCTTTTTTCGAAAAGATACGAGGAAGTAAATCTTTCGCGTTACCAAGCGTTTAAGAGTTAACGCTATCTCGTGTTATGTATGAAACAAGGAAAATAATCGTGATACTTGGCGACATATAAAACGTTCATAGATAAACTCTACTAAAGAATTATTTTATAATATAATTTACCCAGATACGCGCTCTTGATTTTTCATTCAAATATTTTCTCTCTCTTGCTAACGCACTAAGATTTCATTTAATCTTCAAATATTCTACTTATTTCTGTGATATTAATAAGAAATATTAAATCCTGAACTATAACGAAAGTGTTATAAAATTACAGAGAGATAGGTAAAGTAAAAAAATGTTATTTACAAAATTTCTAGATATTTTATCACATGAATGGAAAACAATTTTTCAGATTATCCAGGCACACAAACGATATAATTATGAGTACGTATTATGTGTTACCCTAATCTACGTTTAGGATAAATTTGACACAGTTTATGTAGAAAATTTCAATATATACTATATAACTAATATCGATATATCGGAAGTCACGCGGAATAATCCTTCCTGTCTCCTTCGAAGGAATCGATCGGGCGAATCGCATTTAAACGCCACGCTTCGATGAAGAATCCTTTCTTCGATATTCAACGCCTCGAATACTTGCCACACGTAAGTATCTCGTTCAATTGTTCGACATGCAAACGTTATCTCCTTAACCCATAATAAATAAGTTTGATGCTAATAACGATCCTTAAGAGAGAGAGAGAGGGAAAGTCTCTTTGCTTTTATTTTTCTATTAACTTTCGCCCTTTTCTTTTTCTTATGAACTCGTACGATATTTCATTTACTTTTTAATATAATAAATAATTCAATATATTTAATCACACATAAGATCTAATATAAAAATGTTAACGAATATTTAAAAACAAAACAGTACAAAATTTGATGCTAATAACTAATTGATTAACTAAACAAAATTATAATAAATCTTGTACACAGCATTGTCACGAATCTCAGAATGGATCGCGTGCAAACGCGTACGACTCTAATATTTCGCGTATAGTAAGTATGTAAGTAAATAAGTAAGTAAGTAAGTATCGAAGCATGAGTCAAAGCCGGAAGAGTTCGCGTATTGCTGCAACAAAAGAGGATTTCCCACCTCCGACAAAATCGCCTCCGCGATTTTGTGGGTCGTCGTGAAGCTTGAGGATTGTGCATTGCAAAGAAAAAAAAAAAAAGGAAAAAAAGGGCGTTTGCAGCACACAGCATTGTGCATTTGCGTAATAATGATCGTTAAAACGTACGTACGTACGTATATACATATGTGAGTACTTACATAGTTATGTATACTAAGTACGATCGAGAATCACGAAGATAACGATGCCAATAACGATGCGATGCAAGAACTAATGTTGTGAGAGTTCAACGCAAGACTATGTACATCCTACATTGAACAGTAAAATATTAAGCAATCGATGTATAACCCGACGTGTCTTAGAAAATAATGATGACGTACTGCTACGCGTATGAATATTTTTTACATTTTAACTTTCCCATTCGTATGTGTGATTTTCTATTTATCCACGTTGATAGGTGAGTGTCGGCGGCGGAAAACACATTAACACAGTTGTTAATATCTGTAAACACGTGCACATTGATTGATATCAACTTACTACTTGTGTTTAAATACACATACGCGATAAATAACATATTTAAATTATTTTAAGATTCTTTTTGTACAATCCGACTGTGGTTATTACTTTGAGAGTATACATTTATCTAATTGCTTCTTTACGTATTATTTTCGTTTATTTAATATTGTAAATATAGCACGTCATCGTCTTTATCCATTTAAATATTTTTAATCAATAGTTTTCAAGACGAACATACACAAAAAAATCTAATAAACGTAACGGTGTAGAATTTTAAAGGGACATTCACTGTATATAACAGAATGTTTATAAGATAGTGAGAGTAGTTGACCAGTGGTCTCTCGATTGCGGTGGCGGCGGTGTAAAACCATCATTACCGCCAATTACAATAAATCCCGGACCGTATTCCTCTTATCTTTTTCCGCGCGTACGCTCAAGGTGCGGCTTAATCTATAATCCGATGCGAAGGTAACGGAGCGTGGTTCCCCCACATGTTTGTATATGTATATGTTGTTTTAAAAGACACTAATACACGCGTGAAAAAGTATCCTGAGAGAAAGACAGAAAGAGAAAGAAAATTAGAAACAGTGAGAAGAAGAAATTTATACGAACGTGTGTGTGTACATGAAAGAGAGAGAGAGAAAAAAACAGAACGTATATGTGTTTGTGATTTAAGAAAGAGGAAGAGACAGTAAGAAAGAGAAAATACATCTGTGTGTGTGTGAAAAAGAGACAGTGGGAGAGAAAAGAAAATGAAAGAGAGTAGGCATGGTCAGTCAGCACAACAGTTACAGAGAGTAATCATTTTCCATAGGTAGACTTTCACGACTGATGATCGGGTAGCGTTTCAACAACGATCGGCACCAAGTCTCTAGTGGTAAAAGATTAACAAGATGAGAGGGCATGCGTAGACATAGTGCGTATAGAACATTCTTCTGATCCTCTTGAAAGCACGTCTTCCTAATACCCAGTCTTCTAAGTACGTTCAATCCAGAGTAAAAGTTTGAATTAACTTTACTACTTCCCCTACGTTCATTTCGTTTCCCTTCTCTCGTCTCTATATAACACTTCTTTACACATTATCAAGTACCGTAGTTAATGTATTTTGATCTGTATGTGTATGTGCATGTGTATATGTATCTATCTACTTATCGTTTAACGAAATTTCCCGCGGCAACTAGTCGTGTAAAGACAAGTGGAATGAACGCACCCTCTCTCTCTCTCTCTCTCACTCTCTTTCTCTCTTTCTCTCTTTTTCTTTTTCTTTTTCTTTTTCTTTCTCTACCTCTTTCCTCTTTCTTCTCAACTTCCGCGTTTTCACGCGCTCTCGAACGTTATCCATCAAAGCGCATGCAAACGTTGTACTTTAATGCGCTCGTTTAACATCGCTTCACGAGCTGGTACCTTCCAAGATAAAAGCTTTCAGATTATAAGAACAAACGTATAAATTTAGATACCGATACTATGTCCTTTCACTATGATATTTACTCATATTATTTTACCATGAGTTAATAAATACTATGAGACACTAAACAAATCTGATCACTGTTACCAATGCATAAGAGACAATTCTTTACGTATAATATTTAAACTACTGAATAAATAAATAAATGAATTTAATTATTAATATTTATCATCGCGCGCGTCGTATCGATGAGTGACACGCACACACACACTCGTGATTTTTATTACGCTATTATAGTTAAAGTTTATACATTAGAACGTAAACGTTTTAAGACACGAAACAAATCTATACGTTATCGTAGTTATCAATACACACCATCGACGATTAACTATCATAACAGATAGATACACATTTACACACAATGATTCTTTCCTACTCAAACTTACTTTGTATGCACACGTATGTATGTATGTATGTATGCATTTACATACACAAACCATGGACCAGATAGATCACGTCTGATATAATTAATGAGTACCAGTCGCAATTCCCATACACACCTCCGGCATCGTGGGTCCGCCCTAACAAGTACCTCCGAAGAACTTGCTCTAACCTAAACGAACTCGCCAACGATCAAACACTGTTTATTCTCCTCTTCTTCGTGAAGGTATGTATATATATATCTAGGTGAACGAGGCCACGATTTTATTATTCGTCAGAAATTCAATATCTTTACGTTTACGTAATTAATTTCTATTTGGGATATACGCGGTACGATTTATAATAAACAACAAAATAATATAATTAAAAAATCGTTTACCGATCGATTATATTTATTCCGTTCGAACCTATCGAGAAGAAGAAAAAATGGTGATACCATTTTTTTGTTGTTCAATGCATCTTTTATAAGACAAGATTCGATTGATAAAAATGAAACAAATTCATGGGGATTTCGGACACGTTTACGCCCACGTTCTCGATCAACACGAAACATCGACGATCGAAAAAATAAGAAGAAGAAAAAACAACAGTTGGATTTCGTACGTACTTAAAACACCGTACCCCTGTTAAGCTCTAAATTAACCGATAACGATATACTCTTTTATCTTCTCCCTTCGTTACGTCGTGTAAGTTTTCTCAACAAGTAAAACACTATCTCTCACGGAGTCTCTTGTTACGAAACTTTCAAGATGATTTTCTACAAAGGAAATCTTTTCGAATAATTCCAAATGTGGAATAAAAGTAAAAAAAAAAAAACACCTACCGCTGGGAGAGGTAAAATCAAAGGAATTTCAGGATCATTTGATGCTTCTTCCTCCTCCTCTTCTTCTTCTTCTTCTTTTTCCTCAAAATTAATTTTCTCATCATTCCGTTGCACACTCGAATCTACGTTTAATTCGTTCACACATTCCGACACTTCCGCGATAAGAGTATCGCTCGAATTGCACTTGTCCAAATTCGTATTCTCTTTAGATAAATTAATGATAGTCACTGTATCGATCACCTCTTCGTATTCCTTACTACAAGTTTGTCGTTCATCTGATTCACATTGTTTAATAGCGACATCAATCCCGTTGTTTTCGCTAACGGATATTCTATTTTCACATTCAGGATTAACATTTGACTCTTCTTCCGATGTTTTCGCGAGAACATCCACGGTAATTTCGTTGGAAGTTGTCTCCTCGGGATCATTTTGTTGTTGATTAAGCCTATCCTCGGAAAGTTCGGTATACTTTTCGAAATAATCGTCGTTTTCTTCGCGACGAGTCAACGATGATTGATTATCATCGAAATACCAAGATGTACAATTCTCTTGACGTTTTTTTTCGTTAACACTTTCGTCACCTTTAGAAAGAGCACCCTTGCATTTGCGAAGGTAACTCTTAACTCTCTTCGTTTTACTTTTCCTAGTCTCTTGACTACGTGGCAAATTAATATCCGTGTTATCCGTAATATCTAAAGGAATAGATTCTTGAGTTTTATAAGAGACTTTGTCTAACTCATGAGGAACCTTTGATTTATCATCGATGATATCATCTAAGGAAGCAGTCGATGTTTCTTGTTGATCATTCGGTAGCGTCCAGATTTCTTCTTTTTCGGGTAACCGACGATCAGCCGGTATCACCTGAAAACACAAACGAATATTATATTAGACTTATTCTAATTAACAAAATAATCTTATAAGTATATTAATTTATATACTACTATTGTTATATATATCGCGCGCTTAGATGAATATGAAATGAAAATTTGAACCTAAACTATCGAAGAAAACGGAACAAAGAAAATGACGAACAAACAACGAGGTCGGATCCTCTTGCATGACCTTATGCAACGACCATTTCTCTCAGCACGTTTTACGCGGAGGCGTGGCATACAACTGTATCAGCTAGAGTAATGTCCAGCAAGGTCCACTGGCGCATAAAACAAAAGGGCTTATAGTAAATATTGGCGACCAAGGCGGGCAATACCTAAGGCGCCAGAGCTAATGTCAACCAACCACGAGTAAAAAGCATAACGATGATATTTTACAACGCGATTTAACAGCCCAGTTTCGAGTCCCATAGGATCGTAAGCTTACCGTGGAATACAACTTCCATCTAGTAATATCAACGATATTTCATAATCCTCTTCATAGACTTCCTGTTTCTCTTGTCATTATTTACACAACGTATGTTACATTTCTCGATGAATAATAGACAATGAACGTTTCTATGTTTACTTGCTTCAATATATTGTTAAATAAATTGTGTGTTATTCTATACGCAATAATATCAATTCATATAGTCTCATATTATTTTATATATTTCCTCCATCGATTACTAATAATAATTAAACACACTTCATAGACGATCGCGTTAATTGTTAAGAAGAAAAAAAATAAAAAGAAATGTATAAAGAATAACGAGCATCTTCGGATAATTATTGTCAGAGGGAAAAGATAGGTTTTACGTTCCCCGATTAACCATCCTACCTTTTTCCTATTCTTCGTAGTGTATTCTCTTATCTGAAACAACATCGGTTAAGAAGACAGAGATATGCAGCGTATGTGGTAATGTGTGCCTGGCCCCACTGTGCACGGAAATAGAAAAGGAGTAGCCAGTTTCTTCCTCAATAAGTCGCCAAGTCGACTACAGAAACGAGAATAAGAGAGAAAGAGAGAGATATACTCTCTTGTGTGAACTTTTTTTTTTTTTTTTTTTTTTTTTTCTATGAGACCACGAGAGAGTAGCAGAGAAGATAGACAGCCGGAGCGGAGTCGAGGTTTTATCGATCGAGAGATGGTACTGGAAGCAACTAGATGGTATCTACGATCTATGCTAGATAACAAGATGAGGCGTGGGACCGAGTCGAGGCTAATCTTTCTACTTGAGCAGCAGCAGTTCGTTCATTCAAAGCGCGTGTCTCCTCCTCACTCGATTTGCCTCCTCTTAAACCATCAAGAGGGAAAGTTTCTAACTAAGCCCATCTCTCCCTCCAACAAACGTTTCTCTATTCATTTATCCCCTTCCCCATAAACCCCCACCTTCATCCCTTCCTCCCACCCTTCCTCTCTCTCTCATTTTTATTCATCGTATTTCTATCTTTCTCGCGTTTCTCTGTCTTTTAATCTATTACTTTTCTTAATCTATTACTTTTCTTAATCTATTTCTTTTTATCAATTTCTCTATTTCGTTTCCTTCTGATTTCTCTCTCTCTCTCTCCCTCTCTTTCTCTCTTTTTTTTTTATTATTATTCTTTTTTTTGGATTTCTTTCCATGCACTGCTATCTCTACTCTTCGTGCAGCAAAGAGACTACTCGTCAAGACCGGAAAAATGAGTAAAAGAAAATGAAACTGCATTGGATGTTTATTGTGAGAAGAAAACGCGAACGGGAAGCACCGTCTCGATCGTAAATCCACCTTTCTCTCCAACCAGAACGGAGAATTCATTCTCCCAACTCGCGATTATTACTCGTTTATTAATAATCGAGAATGCAATTATACTTATTTAAGAATTATAGGTACATTTCAACTTAGCAATATGGTATATGGTATATACTTGAGATCCGTTTATCTCAAATAAAACGACTTTAAACGAGGATTTAATTTCTAATTAAATTTATTTTATATCGGAGAAATATATATATAATGAATCATTTCTTTCTCGTTACTGTGTCGGGAGGAAACATTTGTTGCGATTTTTTTTTTCTTTTTCTCTTCTTATTATGATATTTTCATTAAATTAGAAAAAAAAGAAATAACGAATAACACGCGAGATACAAGAATAAATAATTAATTTCAAACAAAGATATACATATATTTTATAAGAGATCAGAGTCAGGCATTATAAAAATCATCTAACGACAACAAAAAAATTCATATAAATCAAGCGTGAATTATTGTTTATAAATTTTCTAATGCACCGTACCAATCACGAATTGGTTTCTTGTCAATGGATCGCAAAAAAATATGAAACACGCTCCTCCAGGTGCAACAAGTTATGCACGCGATCGGCATATAGAGAAACATAGGATTAATGATCAATAAGAAAAAGGACGGTAGAGCACACATTTAGAATTAATTTACTTACGAGGAAGCATGCATTCCTAAAAGTCAAACGAGATTCTATCTCACGAGTTCTCTCTAAAGGTACGACACTGAACTACCAAGACAGAAAGGGCTCGATTAATCGATATATATGTATGTATATATATGTATCTACACACCCATATTCTAACTAACAACGTTCCCCGACGATATCGCTACCACTAGCAACGACGATGTTAATTAGTCTTAGGATAATTTATACCTAGCTTTCTCTATCTTTTTCTGATCCCCATTTCTATCTCTCCCTCTCTTCCTGTCTACGTTTATTTCTTATTTTCTCACTTCTTCTTTAAATTCTTCTACAACTTATTTTATTTTTTTTTTCTCTTTTCTATTTTTATTTCTACTTCTATCACTTACTCTCTTTTATATTCTTCATTTTTTTTCCTCTTTTTTTTTTTTACTTTTATTTCTTAATCTCTCTTTTTCTTTTATAGTCTCACCCTATTTTCTCCCAACACTCCCTTTTTCTATCTACTTTATACTTAATCTCTTTCGTTTTTATATACCATCTCATTCTTTCCTTTCTTTCTTACGTAAGTATTGCCTTTTTCTATTACTAAAAGAAACGTCAAAGTTAGAAAAAGAGGAAATAATCGAATGGATCACGCAAATCCATGAGAAACCGTCTCGCTCGAGAGCGTTTTCAATTAAATATTAGGAATCAAGTATATACACGCGAGATACTCGTGTTAGTAAAAGTGTCATCCGACGAGCAAAAGGTATCCTACAGATAACAAGCATTTCTTTAAACTACAACACGTCTTCCTCTTCTTATACATGTGAAAGCGGAAATGCACTTTACGACAAATTGCAATACCACGTTCGAGTTCCTACTGAGATAAACAAATTGGTTTAGAGGTATTAAGTATGTGAATTACGTGTAAACATAATTTGAATTTAATTCGAATGATAAATGGAAGAAATATTAGAAGATTAGAGAAAACTTGTTACTAATGAATTATTTTATAATAATTACTATTTTTACATTTTTCTCTATCTGTCAATGAACATTAATTTATTATTATGATAATGTATTTCACACAAAAAAGGTACAAATAAATTTAAATAATTATTTACAAAAAAAATCATCGTAAACTTTAACGATCGTATCGATACAAAATTCGGTTTGTTATAACGAACACCGTTGAATATAATCGGCAAGGGAGAGGGTGTTGTTTCATAAGAAGAAGAAGAAGAAGAAAAAGAATAACGATTTTCGATGGGAATGATTTTATATAGCCGAATATATACTACCTATAGGATCAAAGTAACATCTTCGTGTCGATTCTCGGACAACTCGAGCATGAAGGATCGTGAAACTCGAGCCTAAATTTCACCAAAGTCGATCACCGGCGAATCCATTCGTTGAGGAAATAAGGTCATTCCGATGTAATCGCGGCCGGATAAAGCCAGTGTAGAATTGCCGATATATAGATACTGATCCCATGTACCAAATACAAGCAGACACGTATAAAGGTACCGTTCAGATTGCCCGTCCAAGAAGAAGAAGAAGAAGGAAGAGGAGGAGGTGGAGGAGGAGAGAAGAATAAGAGAAAAATTTCACTGAAGAAAAGTAATCTTCAGAAGAGGGGACCTCCAAGGAAGTTGGAAAGAGTTTGATCGATACAATCTCGATTAATAACTTATCGATCTATCGATTGAGCCGAAACAAAAAAAAGGAAACGAACCCCGAAAAACAAACCAAAACTCGATAATGATACTAAAGATAAATCGTTCCGACCGATTTAGAAGACAGCAACATCATATGAGGAACATATTCGAGATACTATAGATATTCCTATTGGATGATAGAAACTAAAAGAGATATATAAAGTATGTAACGAAGTAAGATATAAAAAAAGTGATAAAAGACATCTCGACGATTATCCTGTTCGAGGCTTTCATGTGTTCGCGTATACTATTTGTTTTGCTACTTAATGATTTTTTTCTTTTTTCCTCGACTTATTATAATTCCGTTCATTATTACGTCGTGACTCTTTGGACAATCGTTTTTTTTATTGATTGAAAAAAATGTTTTAAAGAGAAAAAAAAGATATTGCAAATATAGTTGCGCTTGTCTAACTAACCTGCCTATCATAATCCAGTTTGACGTGAACTTAATGAGGAAAAAATTCCTCTTAACTGTTTTACCGATTCGTATAGATGTAAATGTCTATGTAAATGTATAAAACGAAAGCGGAAGTCGCGCCTAGGTGTAACTGGATAAAAGGAGTTTAGTTGCGCAAGCGAGTTACGCTAGGTTAGTGAAACGCACGGCCCAAGGGCAAGGCGAGGTTTCTCAAAGTAACGGTACTCAAGGGGGAGGATACCTAAGAGAGAAAGGGCTTTAAAAAAGAACGGGGGAATCCTTAACGTTTCCTTCCAATCTTACTTGATATAGAACGAAAGGGTAGGACCCTGATAAAGGAAAGGGCTGCTTTCCGTGAGGGAACACATTCATCGATTTTTAACCCTACCATATTTTTCTTTCCTCCCACAAACGTGATTACTAAGTATATATCAAGTGTTTGTTCTGCTGCGATATTTGATTATAGTAACTATGGAGATACGTTGGATTTTATTATCTTTTAAAATTGTATTGGGGGTCGTTATTTTAGAATTTAAGTATACTACTTTCCTATATTTTATCATACTAAATAATATTGAAAATAGTGATATTTATTCGGATATAAAATGTTTAAAAATGTTTGCACACAATTTATATGTTAATTCAACAACAATGTCCTTCATTCATAATACTATAACTGCAAGTAAACTATTTGATATTCCATAAACAGTTATAAATTTAGAATAAAATTCATTTGAACTTGTTTTATAATAATAGAAAATATGATCGACATAATATTGTATAGAAATCGAATGATAAAATCTAAGGACGTTCGTCTTCAGTAACTCTAACGATTCGTGTTAGGCATTTTCAAAAGGAGCACATCTGATAGGATGAAAATAGCTAAGCGTAGACGCGATTATCGATTTCGAACTGCATCGGCCCCTGTTTGAACCCTCCCTGAGCACCGGGCAATGCACGTTTCTGTTGGCCTAGTTTAAGTTCATACCGAAGCAAACGCCGTATTCGGTATATGTAACTACGACTTGTGTTGTACCTTAGTACACGACAGGGCGAGCACGATTCCAGGGTTATATATACTTGTATATGTGTGTATGTAATTATTTATGTATGGTTTGTGTATATAGAAATGCATCACTTACAAAGAGATATATAACTAACTCGATTAAGAACTACCAACAAAATATACCACCCCAAATAACTACTTTATACTCGAATTATGTTGAAAATATTATTTTCATACATACGTATATATATATATATATATATATATATTTCAACAACGTTAACTATATTAAATGAAATTCTTTATACTTGGTTTCGAGTTCTCACGTAGATAAACCACTCGAGATAATGTTATATACGTTTTGTAGGTGATTAAGAAGTCCAACGGGAAAAAAAATCCTTAAGCTACATCGTCAACGGTATTAGATTTCTTAAGATACATATTAAAGCACCCTACTGTCTTAAGTACACAGTTTCGAGTTCCACGGCACGATTGTTTTAATGTACCACGCTTGGTTATGAATACTCAAATATCTGTGCATTCTTCCGTTATAACAAAAAAAAAAAGAAAAGAAAAGAAAAAAATCAATTACCTAAATAAATATTTAAAATTTAAATGAAATTATTGTTATATATAACATCACGATTCGATACCACCCTTAAATCTCAACGCGACACGCAAACATATATATGTATATATACATACACACACATTCAAACATTCAATAAACCTGATTTAATTCAACGACAAATTATGTCTGCATTCAAAAAAAAAAAGAAAATATATTCCAATTCGATGTACTTTAATAGAAAAAGCAATATCCAAGGATTTATTCTTGGCTTCCTCCTAATCAACGACAAGACCGAAACGCTTCCCTGATTCCAAACCGGAATCACCGCTACTGTCGTTGTCGTTACCTCCCTCCCACCCCCTCACCCAACTTCTCCACCTTCTCTTCTTCTTCTTCCTCCTCCTCCTCCTCTTTTACCTTCTCCACCTTTTACACGGTTAACAACAAGGCAGCGTGAGAACGATGCATATGTCTAGGGTCCTAAAACGCATCCTCTCACCCTTCTACATTTCCTCGAGATCGATTTATTGCCATTCGGATAGACAGCTTTTCCACGAAACGTTGTAACCAACTATTACATACAGGGAAATAATAATAATAAAGGGAAACGTTAGAGACTACGGTTGATAGACTTTGTAACTCATATTTTAAATGCTTGGGAACACAAAAATATGTATATATATATATTTTTGTTTTTTTTTTCTTAAATATTATATGAATGAAATATTATAAATATAAATAAGAAAGAAAAAGAAGAGAAGAAAAAAGATTGAAAGGATTACAATTTACGACGACATAGAAGGAATATAAATCTTAAAACAACGCTTCAACTTCCTCGACACTTGGTATAACGGTGTTGGATAATTAATCTCAAAGAATATAACACGGTGTTCCTTGATCCTTGATATTTAATATCGAGAATTAATAGAGAGAAAAAAAAACAATATTTTCTATTATGCAAATAGTGTGCAATGTCCCTTGCGAAAAGTCCAATATCTTTGGAGTTTAATATTCTCGGTGTGAAAAACACGATAAAAGGTAGAATACGAAAGAGAATGAAGTTTCAGACGTGGAACGATAGACAACTTGTTGTAAGTTTAATCGATCGGAATCAGTGAATTTTATTTTCACTTAAAACCCGTCTATCATTCGCTAGCTGTTAAACGATTACCCAACTTTGAACGATCGTTAATTGAATATCTCTCGATCTTATAACTCAGACTATGTAACAAAAGGATCGACCATAGAAACGACGGGGAAAAAAAGAAGGAAAAAAAGGAAAGAAAGTTCACGTTTAGCGAAAGTTTCGGCATTACTTGAATTATTTCAGTCTTCTAAGAGCGCGTGCAATTTTATAAAATATAAATAAGTTGCATAAAAATGTGATTATTATTTTACAAATGATGATTTTAGAATAATTATAAAATTCGTATTAAATTAAATACAATTTTGTAAATATTTTAAAAGTAATAGAGATTAAATTTCCAAATAAATAAAAAACGAATGAAATTAAATCACCCGCACAGGAATTTCTCTACCTCGTTCGATAGGATCGTTAAAAAGACACGACACAACAGGTTACGAACCTAAACTCAGTTATTAATTAAACTTTAAACAGAATTCACACACACCAACTGCGAAGTCGTTTGTTTTCTTATAAATATGTGTACGTGTAAGTGGTTTGTTTTTTTTTTGAAATGTAAGGATATCATCAAAGCAAAGAAGACTGTTTTTCTCATCTCGATTGTATTAACCAAGAATACGAACCCCGATGTTCCCGATAAATTTATCGACTTATATTACATACATACATATATATAAATACTATAAGGAGAAAGCATCGAGATCGTACGATCTCTTCTACTTTTTGCTGACAATCTTAGTATGTAAAAAGCCTCGAAATTCCCATTAACGTCCAACGAGGATAGGTGACAACATGCACGATTCCTCTTTCTTTTTTAAATCTTTTACTAAATGTTTAAGAATACTAACTAACACACACTCTGTTAACGTTTCAAAGATATAAGCTTCGAATAATAAGAATAAAAGAGAGAGAGTACCAAATAGGATTAAAACAACAATAGGAAGAGAAGGACGACTCCTGAATAATCAATCAAACGGAAGTTTGAATCATCGAGAAGATTAGGTTGACTCGCGCATAATACTTTTCTTTACTTTATATGGAAACTAATACTGCAACAGATTTGTTGCTGAATTGTTTATTCGACTAACGTTTATTTGATTTGTATTTAGAAACATTTGAAAACAAAGATGTTTAAAATAAATCATTAGATAAAATAAAAAAGTCCGACGAAACCTTACCCCAATAAAAAATACTTGAAAATATCTAAAATACAAAACAAATTATCTATCAAACGAAATTTCTTATTAACTATTAACATTTTCAAATCTTAACCAAATAAATGAAAAATGCTATATTGCAAATAATGATTTAAACGGTATCTAAAATAAATAATTAATAAACTGTATGTACACTATATAGGATTTTCTAATGAAGAATCAAAAGTGAAATTGGAAGTCAGAAAAGGGTGATTAATTTTGTCAAAGGTAAAAAAAATGTTCCTCGAGGTCACATGTATACCCTCGATCCCTTTTCACTCGTTGACCAATGACAAATGGTCGTCATTATAGTGGCTTTCAGCGTCTCTATTACTCGACGTTATCCATTTACCTGACCGGGAGCAAACCTCCCCGTGGGCGAGAGTGCGCGAACCGGAGAGTGTGCTCCTTCTCTCTCTCTCTCTCTCTTTCTCTCTCATTTACTCTCTCTCACTCTCTCTCTCACTCACTCTCTCTCACTCACTCACTCACTCACTCTTTCGTGCTAATTCTTGAACGGGTCGATAAGCCGGCTAACGGTGACGATGCACACGAGGGGTTAAAAGGTTAGAAAGAAAAGGGCCACGCGAATGGGAAGAGGAGGACGTGTACCTTCTTCCGGCGTAGAAGCTTCCAATCGAAATGATTCATCCTGTTCGGCTCGTTAATTTATCTCTCTCTTTCTCTTTCTTCAACTTTCTTCGAGATTTCCTATGTTTCTTCCTCTTCAGAGCTTCGCAAGTTATAATTTTATTGGTCTCACTAATTAAAGAAAATATTACGAATCAAACTTCTCTTTCCGTTTCATTTATCTTTCCAGAGTAACTTTATTTGATTCATATGAAGATTTGTTTGAACGAGTTAGAAGAGCTGTGTTTGTTTTATTTCCTAATCTTTCGTATCCACTTCTGGCAGTTTCCAATTAAAATGATTCATCTTATTCGATTTATTATTTATATATCACACTCTTTCCTTCTCTTGAAAATTTGTGTGTTGCAGTCTTTTCAATGAATATATTAGAAGTAAAAATATTTGTATTTTTTAAAACTAGGAATTCCTAAATCTTTTGTATACACTTCCGACAGATTCATTCCGTTTCATCTTTCTCCTCAGATTCGTCTAATCTTTTTTCTCTTCAATTTCCTAACTTTAGAGAAAACCAAAATATGAAGAAATTTTGATCTATCAATTATTATCAATTCCTTCATTTATTTCAATCTATATAAATATATTATTCCAGAATAAAAACAACAAAATCCCAATTGAATTTCGTAAAAAATTTCAATCACATTTACAAACATATTATCTTCTCATGAATTTCCCAATTAAACGAACGCTCGAGTAATAGAAAAAAATGGTTGTTTTTTTAAATAAATGAATGATATAAATCCCTTCATTAATTTATATTCGTTTTGATAAAAATCAAGTTGGGTTCATAGAAGGTTGACAGATCTGTCGAAGTTGTTCCAGTGATGGTAACGACAGTAACGAAGAGTTTGCATTCTCGGCACGCTGAAATCCTCATTGTTCTCAACTCCTTTGCCCGGGGACACGTGTCCTTGACGCGGACAGCGGCATCCGCCCACCTTGAATGCACCGATGGACGCTGATTCTCTTTCTCTTTCTCTTTCTTTCTCTTTCTTTCTTATTCGTGCGCGCGTTCACTTACTCGCCCCTGACGCCACCGCTTCGAAAGGGATCGTACTGGCGACTGAGGTGGATCCGTTTCTACTTGCGAGAGAAAGCAGAGTATTCCATTCGTGAGAAACTTTAGATTGAAATTCCAAGCACTTAACTGATGTCTGATGAAACGAGAAATGAGTTGAGTAGGCACAACAATTTCCACCAACGATACAATTTCATATCATATACCAACTTATTTTTCATTAATTGTTCTTCTTTTATATATATATGTGCACGTATCTAATTTTTTTCTTCTCTCTCTCTCTCTCCCTTTGATCACAACCCCATTTTTGTAAAATTACATTTGATATCACTGTCGACACGTAACTGAATTTTGTAAATACAAAAATATACTAATTGGTATAATAAAATAGTCCATTCCATTGTATTATCTTATTCAAGACACTTCAAATTCAATCTAATGTCCGATACTTAACTTAAAATCAAATGAAAACCCTTCCACCCATTTGGAAATAACTAAAATACGAAAGGAAGATAACAAAAATACACTCTCTCATTTATAAGAAAATAGTGATCCACAAAAAATGATATCTATAGAATAAAACAACGTATTCTGGAATCTAAATCAAAATTAAATTTCATCTAATAAGAATAAAATAATACACCAACACAACACACAAACACACACACACTGTTAAAGTAACACGAACACTAAAAAACAAATTCACTCGAGGGGGTAGGAGGTTTTATCGACTGACCTCGTTACGAAAGAGATAAAAGGGTGTAACTTAAATTCTCTTAAGAAGAAAAATGATTGGTTAGAGATGCGAATCGCGACGACACACGCACGCGAACGTGTGTGCTAGGATGAGATCTGGTGACTACCCCTCTTCTCGTCCCTCTCTCTCACTCTCTCTCTCTCTCTCTCGTGCAAAAATGGTCGAATAGAAACGATGGAAAATGGCTGATGTGATGAGAACGGTCGGATGGAGGGCGGCGTACTGTCAAAATATCCGCTGATTTTGCCCAGCCGACAATACGACGAACAGCGGGAGACCTCCCAAGCGACACGAGCATGCGTGATGATGTTCTATTTCTCTCTCTCTCTTTTCCTCTCGATTCGTTCTAAGCGTACTACTCTTTTCAACGTCGTCGTCGTCGTCGTCGTGGTTATCGTGGTTATCGTCGTAGTCGTGGTTGTCCTGGTCGTTGCTACCAACGTCCAACATTGAAGCAAGGGATAATCAAACTCCCCAGTTCTACCCTTTACTATGATACACTCCAAGTACGCTTTTACGAATCCCCTCGTGTTATCAAAAATCGATCCATTTTTTTTTTCATTCACCTTTATGTATACTCTTTTCTAGTTTTATTTTAGATTTATCGTTAATCCAAAGTATTTTATTATTTTTAAATATAGATATGTGTGTGTGTACTATTTCGTATATTTTATTATAGTAACAGCCTGGTGATTAATCACAGAACAAATTGCATTCGTTTGGTTATCAATTATCTTCGAAAGAAAATGACACATTTTAAAAAAAAAAAGAACAAAATAATTTCTTTTCACATTCGTCACTTTATAATGAACGATAATTAACTTTATTTAAAAATTAACCAGTTTTAAAAACGATCAATGATATTTATTCGATGTCTACGAAGATGAGCATCTAACAAATGTACAATGTATTGCAAAGTTTCATTACAATAACATCCAACAAGATTGACATCGGTAAACTCAAAGAGTCTTCTTAACTCTGAGCAACTCTTCTCTATGGCTAGGAAGAAGAATAAGAAAAAAAAATGAAAAAAAAAAGAAATAAATATGAAGGAGTATCGTGTTTCATTAGGTAAAGCCTTGTTCGATTTGGGAGATCGCGACTCATCATTGATCCTGATGACATACCGAATTGAATAGGCTCTTTTCAATGAGAAACATCGGAGTAAATGTATATATATACGTTATATCAACTTGGACACCTTGTTTCGCTTCGTCACAAAGTAGTCCCGTGTTTCCGTGATTTCGTTGTTGACTTCATTGCCTGTCTTATGCAAGTCGATTATGTATTCTTGCTGCATCACGACCCGTGCGAAATCATTATGCCGTTTTCAAAAGAATTACGAAACAACAATGTGTTTATTTGTTTACCAAATTTTCTCTTTTTCGATATATATTTACATACATACATATATAAAATAAATTACGAATAATAATTAAATTAATGTATTTTTTTTTTCTTAACCCCTCGTGCATTTAATTTATCTTATAAAAATCTATATAAAGACCAATTGAAAAATTTTTGTTTAGTAATGTTCATTAAAATGTGCATAGGATGCAGTTGCAACATATTTAAGAGACGACTGGCGCCATCTCCCAACGGAACTCGCAAGTAGATCATCTCTTTTCGTGTTGCATCAGCAATGCAGAACTTGGATATATCCTTTATTTTTTTTTAATAACACAATTTATTTTATAATCTATCTAAAATATGTCTATATAGATTTAACATTTATTTTTTTCAATATGTATAAAATATTATAATGTAATCATTTACTTTTTTATGATTATATAAATCGAACATAAAAAGTATCCTAATACACAGATTTTTATTTGAATCAAGAATAAAAAATTTCTAGTTCAATTTCCTTTTATATTTTGTAATTTCACATTAAAGAAACAGGTTCAATGTACGAATAATTATTAATAAAGATGATAATCATCGTGTCATTAAAATGTGTCGGGGAAAAGGATTTGATCTGTTTGAAAGTCTTCGTTTAAAACAGATCGCTTATCGTTTCTCACATTTGCATAGGAAATTAATATTGTTGCTATCGTGTAACATATATTCCTGAAACGTATATATGAATGTGTATGTATATATATATATATATATGTATGTACATATTGAATCGATGCCCATATCAGTTATACCGTATAAAATACATACACCGCACCCTATTGCATATTAATCGCTTTATAATCGTGCTACCTCTTATACGCGTCTATCATTAGCGGACGTTAATCGGCCAATTGTGAGTGAACAACGACCACTACAACAACTTAGAACTTTACCATCCTGATAGATAAATAATGACGTAATGAACATCATCTAACGATGACTAATCCTTATAGACTTTGCTTTGTGTTTTCATCTAATCTAATACCTAACAAAGATTTCTAACACTCAATTATTCTCATCTATAATGTAATAATAAAAAAAAAAAATCATAAATATTAATAATCTCATTTTATCCAATATTATTAATTATGTAAAACGTATGCACGCGTGTACATTTATATTGCATAATATTAATCATTAAAAAATTATTTTCTCAACAATATACTTTTATTATATAATTTCTGAGAGATGTAAAAAATAAAATGAACAAAATCAAAGCCATACTAACTTGGTAATAAAAAAATTCTATGAATCACATAAGCGACAGCTAACCAAAGGAAACAGGTGTTTTAATTTATTGCCCACTGTTGTCACTCTGTGTACAACCACTCGTGTGAAAACCAACCGTTAATAATATTATAAATAAAGATACAAATCTTATAATTCTATCATCGTCAGGAAAAGATCCGCTATGTTTGAATAATTATGACGTGTCCGTGACATTAATTTAAAAATTGTAGAAATACTAACAAAAATTATACCCAAAGAATACATACTTAATAAAAAATTATGAATACGCGATTATCAAAATAAAAATGACGATATACCTAACTATAATAACGGTAATTTAATTATATCAAATGATCTCTTCGTGTACAATCTACCTACTTTTACCATAAAAATATATTTTCACATGAAAACAGAAAAAAAAAGATGCCTCAAAAGTCTGCAATAAAATACTTGTGCGTTTGTTTCGAATTTCTTTAATCTATAAAAAATAATTTCACACGTTCGCCAAATCCTCTTTTCGCGAGTACGATAACTTATAAAATAACGTTTAATTATTTTGACACATCGATTAAAATCAAGGATATCCTGTGTGTATATATGTAGATGTAAGTATGTGCGCGTGTATCTTTATTAAACAAAAGATACAGAGATCAACCATTCCTTTTCTCTCTAATGATACGAATTTAAGACAATGGCCATTCTCGACGTGAAATTGCCTTAATTACGATTAACTTTTTTGCTCATTGTTTTACCGCCGGCAACGCAATGGAATTTCCGCTGTGTTAAAGTTAAACTAAGGTTTCTCTCGAAATATCTAAATATCTAATAATGTAAAAAGAACTCTTATATGAGAGAAATAAGACTATAAATGATAATATTTAGATATTTAATGAAACACGATGTTTCTAAGAACTAACGTAAAACATCACATATTCAAAGGTATTAACTTAATAAAAATTGTATATAAGAATTTTTAAAATTTATAATTTTATAAATAATATTGACGCTGAAAATATTCTAGAATAAAAAAAAGACATGATTACACGTAATAAAAATTATCTAATGTAATTATTAAGACATCAATTGATTATGTGTTTTCATATCATCTATTTAACTTAAAGGGAAACAATCTGATATTCTGGATTATCGATACATTTTTGAAAGGGACACCTGCTTTCACTCCCCATAACTCGTCTTCATGAGTACCGACCACATCCTCGTACATACAAACTGGATGAACGAGATATCGTGTAACGACACAATAACGACATTTAATCGAGGCAACGAAGCGTAAAGGAACGAGACATCATACGAGAAGGAAAGCATCGATTGGGAGGATACGGAAGGAAGATAGGAAGGTTTAAAGAACGTAACTATTCCGTTTGTTTCAATGGAATTTACGTTACACAACTTTAGAAAATGATCTACACACAATACACTTATTTGTACTTTTTAAAAATTCTTATACAATTTGTAATGAATATTTTCTAATATAAAAATCAGTGCAATCCCTGTTTATTACTAAATCTATACTATATGTGTCGAAATAATTATTATATTACAAAAAGAAACTGCTGTTGTTTAAAAATGTTTAAAAACAAAAAAATACTGACCCAATAAATAACAATGGTAAAACAATGAATAAGAAAAGAAAAGAAAAAAAAAAAAAGATGAAGAAAACGGTACTAGTTGAGCGAAAGGAAGAATCCATACGTGCTCTAGAAGAGACCTACTCGATTAATTAGAAGCGAAAGTGAGTGAAATTGTGCGCATTGTAATCGCAACTCGTCCACGTGCTCAGAAGCACTTTACGATGACAACGAAACCGCCGGCTCGCTTTGAATACTCTTTTTAATCTTTCCATGATGAATCTTTGTTTTAATACATCCGTAGTCATTAATTCCTGATGGTGTTCGAATTTCCCTTACCTTATATCTTATCATCTTTTTCACAGTTTTAATTCGCAATAAAAAATATTAGAAAACATGCTGTGATCATCACGATGTTAAAAACAAATTTAAAACTGTTCACCGGTTAAATAAAAAAACATGTACAAACACGAATAATTTTCTCAAGCTAATCAACAATAATAAAAAAAAAAAAAAAAAAAATCACTTATCATTTAAGATCCATGAATTAACTAACAATTTTTATATATTCGAATATTAACAAATATTTATAATGATAAGGGAGAATACTGACATCATAGACTCGACGTATCTTTATTGCATACAAACATTACTGTCATATGATGACACTTGTGGTTGTAGGATAAATACAGAGGTATAACGTATGACTGATTGATGGAAAGGGAAATTCGCAACACGGCAAAATGAAGAGAGTAGGTATCCCCTACTGTGCACCATTAATGTACGCCTAGATAGATATATACCTAACATCTCTTCTTGTCATTATGGTTGATCCGTTAAGTAGATTGTCGCAAATGGCGCGAATCCAACATTTCAACATGGTTATATCTTCCAACAAACTACTAACACTCTATCTATATATATATATATAAATTCTATCTATATTATATTAAACGTAATATCAAAGTTAGAAAATGTGAGAGCTTTACATTGGTGTATAACTGTATCTCAAT